GGAACAGTGTTTTTCTCCAAACTGTTGGTATTTCAAACGCTACATTTAGCAGCGTTTGGAATTGGAGTTTTGGAGAAAGAAAATTCTTTCTCCAAAACACCCGTATTATTATTAAAAAAAAAAAAAAAACTTGAACTTCCATTATTAATGGTGCCTTTAATGCCCCTTTAATGAGGAGCCTTTTAAATTTCTCAAGCTTGCTAGCAAAATACACAGGAACCTCAAAGGCTCTCCCGTCACTTTTTCTCACCGATGTGAAATTATTAATTCCTTTTATAATAATAACAATTATTATTATTATTATTATTATTATTATTATCATTATTATTATTATGTTCTTATGGTTATTTTACATGTTAACCGCTAATTTAAATAGTTAATTTCACCAACCATTTTTTTACAAATTGCTAATACAATCAGCTAACACAATCCGCTATTCGTTAACCGCTAATACAATCCGCTATCCGCTGATTGCCAAATAAGACCATAGTTAATTTCATTTTTGGTCTTAGATTTATAAGTGTCAGTCCATTTTTTATTTAAACATTCCTATTTGATCCTAGTATTATTATCGAGTTAATTCAATTTTTGGTTCTAGATTTATAAGTGGCAGTCCACTTTTATCCTTTTTTATCAGAACATACACTTTTGGTCGTAATATTATTGTGACATGACCAATTTTGGTCATCTATCAACAAAATCGTTGAAATTTCGTTAAATAGGACATTTTGATCTTTTTAATACAAAGTGCGCTGATCCGTTATATTTTTATGTTTATTTAAAAATCATAATTGAAGAGCGAAATGCCTTGTATTTAACGAAATTTCAACGATTTTTTTGATAGAGGACCAAAATTGGTCATGCCACAATAATACTAGGACCAAAAAGGGATGTTTTGATTAAAAAAAAAAAAAGACTAAAAGTGGACTACCACCTATAAATCTAGGACAAAAAATGGAAGTAACTCGCATGACCATTTTTTGTCATCCGTCAATAAAACCGTTTATATGACGTTAAATACAACATTTTGGTCAATTCAATTCTAAGTGTTATATCATAAATTTATGTGTTATTTCCTTAGAATTGAATTGACCAACATGTTGTATTTAACGTCATATAAACGGTTTTATTGACGGATGACAAAAAATGGTCATGCGAGTTACTTCCATTTTTTGTCCTAGATTTATAGGTGGTAGTCCACTTTTAGTCTTTTTTTTTTTTTTTTTTTGTGCCACAGCATAATTTGTCGAGTCAATAATACTAAAAAAAAAAAAAAGAAGTCTTTGGACTTCTCAATACTTGCCCACATTGATGGGCAAGCAATTATATGTTTGTAAGAGGAGCAATGATCCTCTTATATAGAGGAGCTCAAGAGCTCCTCTTTCTAAACATTTTCAATGTGGGATCAAAATGATCCCACATCATTTAAAAAGGGGAGCCACCTTTGTCGTCTTTTTTTTTTTTTTAATTTTAATTTGTATATAGTTTTGTTTGGATTATTATTATTATTATTATTATTATTATTATTATTATTATTATTATTATTAGTATTATTATTATTATTTATAAATTAATAGATTTTATTTAATTTCCATTTGAGATTTACTTACCAAATAAGCTTTACTACAAAAGTTTGGGGTGGGGGGGGGGGAGGAAATGGATTAGGATGATTTTGTTTTTAATTATACTAGTATTTGCGCCCGTGCGTTGCACGGAATGAATTTGTTATAAAATTTTAAAAATATTTATATCGATATACAATTGTATAAATTATAAAATCGAATATTATATAATATAATTGAAGAATTGAGTTGCACCGATTATGTTTTCTGATGTTATCAATGCTTGAATTCGAATAAATAATTGCCCAATTAATAGCTAACGTGTAGATATACGCATTCGGTGTTGTAACTTTAGAGATTTTATATATCAGTGTTTATAATTTGTATTAATTGGGCTAATTAGCTCGTTGTCTAGCAACTCAGTTATATAAATTATTTATACGGAAGATATATTTTCTATGTAGATCAGCTATATAGCAATTTTGTCATTTTTGTATATAAAAAAGCATAATATCAATGGCTTAAATTATACATTATTGAAAATCTCTTTATAGCTAGACGACATTGGTAGTAGTAACGGAATTTTATCCATCATCGTCTAAAGTTAAAACTATCAGACTATCAGGATGTGTGACTCGGAAAAAAGTAACATACAATTAACCGTGATTAAAGACTGATTTTTTCAGTAATAACTCAAATATTATATAGTGCAATTAAAGATATGGTTTCGCCCGTGAATTTGTTGTAATATATTAAGAATATCTGGATTGATATATAATTATTTAAATTAGAACATTAAATATTATATAGTGCAATTGAAGATATAGTTTGGATCGTTTATAAGTTTTGATGTTATCGTTGCTTGAATTTAAACAAATAATTGCTCAAATTAATAGCTAATGTGTAGATATACGCATGCAGTGTTGTAACTTTGAAGCTTTTATTTATCATTGTTTAGTATTTTTATAAATTAGGCAAACGTGCTCATTCTTTAGCAACTCAGTTATAGGAATGAATTGCTATCCTAATTCATTTGTATGAAAAATATATATATATTTTTTTTGTCTAAATTGCTTTAAAAAATTTTATTTTTTTTGTGTGTAGATATATAGCAATTGACCAAAATGTTGTATTTAACGTCATATAAACGGTTTCATTTTTAGTCATAAATTTATGTGTTATTTCATTTTTAGTCATAAATTTATGTGTTATTTCATTTTTAGTCCTTTTTTTAAAAGCATACTTGTCGGGTCTAATATTATTGTGGTATGACCGTATGACCATTTGTTGTCCTCCGTTAATAAATATGTTTAAAAATGACATTAAAAATAACGTTATTAACCCTTCAAAATCAGCAATTTTTTCTTCTTGGTAATATAACTACAAGTCTTGTGGGTTTTTATGAAGTAGACTTATACACTAAACTTAAGATTTGCCATGAAGTAGACTTGTAGTTTTATCAATTGCACTTTTTTTTTTTTTTTTTTGGGGGGGGGGGGGGGGGGGGGGGGGGAGGGATTTTACAATATAATTATGTATTGATAACAATTTTATTACCAAAAAAAAAAAAAAAAGATTGTGAGTGGTGAATACTGTCACCATTTTTAATGTTATTTAAATATATTTGTTGACAGATTACCAAAAATGGTCATGCCACAATAATGTTATGAAAAAAATGACTAAAAGTGAAATGATATATAAATTAAGAACGAAAATGGAAAATGACTTAATACTTGAATAAACAAAATGTCTTTGTATTTAGCGTCATTTAAACAGTTTTGGAGTATACCCAAGGTTTCCACTATCGGACACAAAGCCAAGGATCGAACCTCCAAAAGCAAGGATCAAACCATTAACCTTTAATTAAGGATGGATGAGTCTCTTCCACTTAATTATACCCTCCAGGTTGAACTAACACCTATTAATCTAGAACAAAAAACAGAACTAACTCTTTCTATATATTATAATTTATATTTGGAACTCAAGTTTGGGTTCCTCTAGGACCACACTTGGTTGGTGAAAATTTTGAATATTTTGTTTTTACCCATAAGCTAGCCATATATTATTTAGGGGGCGTTTGGTTCAGGTTATATTATATAACCAAGGGAATGTGACATTCCCGAGCTTACATTCCTATGTTTGGTTCATTTTCTCTGAGGGAATATAACATTCCCAGGGAATGTAACATTCCCTCCACATAGGATTTTGAAGGGAATGTGATTCCCTTCATTTTGTTAGGTAATGTAAGATAACCTTGCATATTTATGAATTTTGTCATTTTAATTCTAATTATTTAAAGATATATATTTTATGTTAGCTTATTATTATTATTAATATGATACCGTTATCTTATTTATTTAATTTAATGATTAAATTTATTAAAATATATGAAAATATGTTAAGGATATTATATATATATATATATATATATATATATATATATATATATATATATAAAGATAACCCTAAACCAAACATGATAATATTACATACCTCAATTTTAACCAAACACGGGAATCTAACATTCCCAGTAATCTAACATTCCTAGCAATCTAACATTCCCTAAGGTAATCTTACATTCCCTAAGGTAATCTAACATTCCGTGAACCAAACGGCTAGAGTTATATTTAAATATGGCTCCAATGTGTACTAATTAAATAAATTAAACATATGGCATGATTTCCGGTTTTCCTAAGAATTTAAAAATACATGGAAAATGACTCGGGGGTACGTGAAAGTGCAATGGCCCAAGACGCGGCATTGCCAGATTCACGTGCGATGCAGGAACCGCCATTATTTCCGAATTAAAATCCACTTTGCAACGTTGTTGTAGGGTAGGGGCCTCTTTTTTTTTTTTTTTTGGGTTAATAAAATGAGTTTTCCTTATCGTGTATACATAGCCTTATAGTGTAAGCAACCAGACAATAATATTTGCTCTTCCATCATATCAATGGAGAAACCCAAACAACTAATTTCATCACACACACACAATAAGTTATAGATTTCGTCTCGACGATTCTCGTATATGAAGGTGGACACTCTCAAGTAATGACTGTACATTTCTCTCATCAATCGGAATGATAAGTAACCATTCTCAGGTTGCAATTTGCAGAAACCAATGGGTAAAGGGTGAATTAAATTCTTAAAAGAAGAAATCATGCAAGATTTGAATATAGACAGCCATTAATGAAGGTACATTTGATTTAAGTTATTAAATTCAAGTGCCAGCACATATAAGATTGTTGTTAGTGATGAGATAAGCTGTATTACAGTTGTAAAGGAGTGGGGTGGGGTATATCCTTAGAGACATCAAATTATATGGATTCAAATCCAATTAGGCAGATCAGAGTTGTCTATTTCGGTTCTTGATCCAAAATCCAGTCAGCATCAAGAAGTGCACATTTGAAATGGACAAAGAGAAGATAGAACAGCGACAGATGGAAATCAAAGGAATGACATGAATTCCAGGAATCAATACAAGTAAAATGATGTTCATCATTATATTATAAATTGAAGGAGAAGGAGAAAAAAAAAAAAAAGAATAAAATCAAGAAACAAGAGTATGATAATGAAAAGAGAAACAAAAAGAAAGAAGAAGAAGAAGATAAATAACAATCCGGAAACCATTGCCAGCAACAAACTGGGATCTGGCCCAGAATTAAGCTCTCTATACATACACTTCCCTGCAAATCTATTCTCTGTTTCTGCCAAATTTATTTCTCTCCTTCGCAAATCTTAATTACCCATAATAGTAATAGTTTCCAAGAAATAGTGGGAGAAATCTTAGCAATTACCCAATATAGTACTTCAGGGGCTGTCTTTCTCATCCCGGCGATGATTGCGACAATATAGACGAGGAAATAAATAGGAATAGTTAGAGGAATATTCCAGAAAGGAATCAATAGAAGGGTGGTGGTGGAGGTGAAGCGTAGGAAACGCCGATGACCGGAGGCAAGACGAATGCCGGAGGGGGAGGTGGTGGGCTCTCATAGATAACCACCGGCGGTGGGAGAGAGGGTAGTGGTGGAGGATGTTCACATGGCTTGGAGGGTGGAGGTGGTGAGTGGTGGTGGTGGACAGGTGGGGGCGGGGAATTGTAGTGGATTGGGGGAGATGGGGATGGTGGTGGCAAGTAAACATGAGGAGGTGGTAGTGGTATTGGCGATGGAGGTGGTGGAGGCTCTATGCTAGGGAGAGGGGATGGTGGCGGAGGTGGCGAATTTGGTGACGGAGTAGGGGATGGCTGCGGCGGAGCTTGGGGAGGAGGCGGCGACTGAACTGGTGGTGGGGGTGATGGAGGGGGTGGAGAAGGTGGAGGCGGTGAGTAAACCGGTGGGGGTGGTGAAGGTGGGGGAGGTGGAGGGGAATAAACCGGTGGTGGCGGGGGCGAGGGTGACGGCGGTGGTGGAGGTGGGGGAGAATAAACCGGTGGTGGCGGGGGCGAGGGTGACGGCGGTGGTGGAGGTGGAGGAGAATAAACCGGTGGTGGCGGGGGCGAGGGAGAAGGCGGTGGTGGAGGTGGGGGAGAATGAACCGCCGGCGGGGGAGCTGGTGAGGGTGAATGTGAAGGTGGATTGGAACCCGATGGCGGAGGGGTGAAAACAGGCGGGGAAGTTCCCGGAGATGGCGGAGGGGTGAAAACGGGCGGCGAAGATCCCGGAGATGGCGGAGGGGTGAAAACAGGCGGTGAAGATCCCGGAGATGGCGGAGGGGTGAAAACAGGCGGCGAAGATCCCGGGGATGGCGGAGGGGTGAAAACAGGCGGCGAAGATCCCGGGGATGGCGGAGGGGTGAAAACAGGCGGCGAAGATCCCGGAGATGGCGGAGGGGTGAAAACGGGCGGCGAAGATCCCGGAGATGGCGGAGGGGTGAAAACGGGCGGCGAAGATCCCGGAGATGGCGGAGGTGTGAAGACAGGAGGTGGCGAAACACCCGGAGATGGCGAAGGTGGTGAGGGTGATGATGGAGGTGAATGTGAAGGTGGATTGAAGCCCGACGGCGGAGGGGTGAAGACAGGAGGAGGTGAAAATCCCGGAGATGACGGAGATGGTGGAACACCCGGAGAAGGCGGAGACACCGGAACAGAAACCGGCGGCGGAGGAGCGGGCAAAGGAGGAGACGGCAGAGGAGGTGAAGGCAGAGAAGGAGTAAACTTTTGACATTTAAAAGCACTGCAACTAATTCTCTTACCCAAGAACGCCTTACACTGCGCCGCAGACCGCTGTTCCGGCCGGCTCGGCAAGCAATTCCGGCGATCATCAATCTTGGGCAACGCCAAACACGCCGGCGGCTCACCGGTAAAGAAGTTATACGAATATGTAAAATTCTGAAGCTTAGGAAGCTCACATATACTCTTCGGAATTGTCCCAGAAAGCATATTATGACCCACATTCAGCTGCTCCAAGCTAACCATCTCTCCGATCTTCTCCGGCAACGGCCCCAACAGCTTGTTGAAGCTCACGTCGAACACCGTCAAGTTTTTCAGCCGCCCGATTCCCGGCGGAAGACACGACATTAAGTCATTGTTCATCAGTATAATCTCATTCAGATTAGTCATATTCCCAATGCTCGCCGGCAGACACCCGTGAAACTTATTATTCGCCACCACAATCACCGACACCGGCGAATTCCCAAAATTCTCCGGCAATTCAAAGGCGAACCGGTTATCGTTTATGAAAATCGCATCCAGCGGCTTGTCAAACAGTGCAGAGGGAACCCCCCCTTCGAACTCATTGAACCTGATGTCCAAATAGATCAGCTCCGGCAAGCTGAGAACCACGTAAGGGAACTTCCCGGCGAACCGGTTGTTACTCACGTCCAGCTCGTACAGCCGCTTCAAATTCTTGAATTTCTTCGGGATCGTCCCGCAGAACCGATTCGAGTTGATGTGGAAAATCGCGAGATCCGCCAGCAGGCCGAGCTCCTCCGGCAGGAATCCGGCAATGTCGCCGTGGTTGAGATCAATGCTGCCGACCGTCTGGATCTTGGGGTTATCCGGCGCCGCGTCGCAGAACACGTTGGAGTAGTTGCAGACGTCCGACCCGACCCAATCCACAGTAAAGTTGCGCGGATCTGAGATAATGGCCTGCTTCCATGCCTGTAAAGCAATGTAAGCATTCCGGATCCTGGGATTGTCGAACTTCAGAGACGGGTCGATCGTCACCTCCTCGCCGCGGTCGTGCAGTAACTGCCGGCGCTGGATGTACTGAACCTCGGCGTCCGACAGCGGGCCATTGTCGGAAACCTCAAACCCGACGACAACCACCGCAAGCAAGGAAGAAATCAAAAAGAAGCAAAAGTAAAAGAAACACCAACTTCTTTTGTCCTTCATCTCACACAGTCTCACCAGACATTTGAATACCTTATATGTGTTTTTGTGCAGAATCAAAAGATTCGTACAAATGTGAGATCGAAGAACAAAGATCTGAGGATTTATGAAAGGGTTTTTGGAGACTCCGAAGTGAAGTTCTTCGGAGATTTTAGAGAGAGACTGTGATTGTGAGAATGGAGGAGAACTGGAGATGAGGGGAAATTAAAGGACAGCTCGAACCTCAATCCCCAGTAGCCCACCATATTTCTTTATTACTACATATAGTAAAAGTAAATCCTTCGAAAAATTTATTCTTGCTTACCATCATTTTTACTTGATAATGTACTGTTTTTGTTTTGGAATGCATGTGCTTTGTCCTATAATCTGGGGTTTTATTCTCTCAATTATTTTGTTTTATGGTGGTTTAAGTACACAATTTTGTTAAATGATTTGCAGATTGCAACTTGTGCTTCTAATTTTTTTTTTTAAATGTTATTATTCATGTGTTATATGTATTGATTATTCGTAAATTAGTGAATTACACCATTGATTAATCAAATAAAGTCATGCAATAGTGTGTCGGTTGCATGATACCGGCAAAAAACAATTTTGTTTTGTTTTTCATAGATAATAAGAAATTACTCAATTCCGGAAACATATTTAGCCATTGGTGCAAGAAAAAAAAAAAAAAAACTATGGGTTCCGTTTACATTTCTCTAATTTTTTGAAAAATTGGAGAATTGAATAACAAAAAAATACAAAACATGTTTAATAACGCACTTTTTCATTTTGAAAATAGAAAAAAAAAATCAATTTTTCTAGAAAAATGAAAACTATTAAAAATTTAAATGAAAAATAGAATCATTTATAACCATCTACTTACCGGAGTACATGTTTATTCATTACTATTTTTTTTTTGGTGTCAACCACACACTGTGGTCTAGGTCTTTCTTTGTCCGTGTAACGGTCCAAGTCCACCCGGTTCACTCCGAGAGACACAGAAACTGGCCCAAAGTGGGATCATCACTTGTGGTTATCCCAGAATTCCCCCCGCAAAGAGAGCTCATTTGCCAGTCGAGCTACCCTGTTGGGTTGTTTATTCATTACTATGATTACATTCATTATCATCTTCTTTTACTTATCACAATCTTCTATTTTTTCTATTCGCATTATTTATTTAAACATAACTTATTTGCTTATGCTTAGAGTTAGACATTATTCATATTATCAAGATTAAAAAATAAACTCTATATCAAGTTTTATATTTTTATTGAACTCAATTAATTATTGGTTCAGATATTTTTTTGAAAGCCAACCAAAAATGATTGTATTAATGAATCAACGCAGCAATAGATTCAGGAGGGACATAATCCCAACACATAGAATGGTCCTGAGTAAAAGTTAAAGAAGCTAGAATATAAGCATGTAAATTAACCTGTCTAGAAACATAACTTAAAGAGCAATAATTAAATAAAGCCATAGATAGCCTACATTGGTCCACCACAACCCCAACATATGACAAGATAGTCGTTGATTCCTGATGTAAAGCACTCCGCAACTCCGAGCAATCCGTGAGAAGATCCACCACTATGACGTTTCTTTCCCTTAGCCAAAACAGAGCCTCCTTGCAAGCTAAGGCCTCTGCCACAAGAGGTGAGAAACAGACCGGTAGCTTACCATTCTTTGCTGCCATAAACGAGCCGTCCGAATCGAGCAACACCACTCCATACGTGGCCTCCCCGGTAGCTTGCCTGAACCCGGCATCAACGTAGCTTCATGGCCGTGTATGCAATATGTTCGGTGTCGCTGTTGCCGGCATGGGTTGAGAGGTCCGGTGGTGTACTCAATTGATTATTGGTTCGGATATCGTAGTACAAGTTTGGTCCGGACATCGGATATTAAAATTTCACATGTATTAATATATTAGAATTCAAAGTAAAAATTATATATTTATATACATGTCATTCAAATGAATATATCCAAAAATATTTCAAATATTAGCTCAAAAAATATTAATATTATCTACATTAAATTTTAGGTGAACTTAATAGGTTATTTGTTCGGATTTATTTTTAGTTATGTTATATACATATATAAATTTGGTTCGAATATCAAATGTAAAAAATCTTACATATATTGGACCTAAAAGTAAAAATTATATTTAATCTATTTTTTAAAAAATATGTTAAAATATTTTAAATATTTTTTTTGACAAAATATTTTAAATATAAGATCTACAAAATCACTCGAAATTAAACTTGTGTTAATTTTATAGCGTTAATCTAAAAAATAAATTTGAAAATAAGTGTTAGTAAACATGTGGATCGGATGCCACAACCGGATTAGAAGGAGTTCCGCCGTTGTGCGTGAGTATTAGTCTAAAGACTAAAGCGATGTTCATATGTGAATCAGACGGTAAGGTCAATTAAGGATAGGATAAGACAGATGTTTTTTATAAACATAAAAGAGAGAAGGAAAACCATTAATGAAAATTGAAAAATTAGAAAACAGAAAACATAAATCAGTTTCCGTTAGTAAACGGACCCTATTATTTTTGGTAAATCTTATTGTGGACAATGAAGTATGTATCATTTTAATTACACTTCATATTTATTTTACAATATTGTTCTGTTTTTTAGTTTAATTTTCCATGTACACTAGTTTCATTATAGCTATATCAAAGTATCATTTTAATTATATTACAGTTTAATTTGACAATACACATTATTGCATGACTCTATTTTTTAGTTTTAATTATTTTCCACACACTAGTTTAATTATAGTAATGCTGAAGTATTATTTTAATTATACTTCATATTCATTTGACAATATATTCTATTGTATGAGCTTTGAATTTTATTTTTATTTTCCACACACACTAGTTTTATTTTAACAATACTAAAGTATCATTTTAATTATACTACAATTCTATTTGACAATATAAATTATTAAATAAGCTCAGATTTTTAGTTTCATTTTTTACACATAATAATTTCATTATTACAATACTAAAATATTATATATTTTAATTATATTAAAATTGTATTTAATGACCATGATCCACTGTATAACAACTTATTGTTTTTGAAAAGTCATCCAAGATTCCAAGTGTGTAGTAGTACATGCAGTAGCTAACTCGTTTTAATTTAGAGTTTCTTAAAAGAGATAATTATTAATATAATTTATTTATTAGGACCATTGTATTTTTAATAGTTGTTAATTTTTCTGAAATTTTGTTAAGGGGAGAACTAGGGGAGCGTTTGGTTTTTAACTTTTAATCATTATCATGCATGTTTGTTGGTATAAATTTAATGTATTGAATTCACATTTAAACCCCTTCGTAATGATATATTCAATTTTGAATGTAAATCTTACTTTTGCATTTCAAAATGAAAAATAAAGAAAAGAAAAAAAAATTCCATCACCATTTTTGTTTTAATTTTTTAAATTTTGATTCTAATTTATAATAAATGAACAAATTACTTTTACTAAAAATATTTTAATTATTAACTGTTTAATTCCAATTCCTACTTTGATTTGTATGTTTGAACCAAATGCCCCCTAAATTTTTTTAATTTTTAAATATTTGTTATCTTAGTTTCCTTCTTAAAAAAAAGGTTAAGTGGGGTCCGTTTGTTTTCAATCGTTTGTGTCAAATTGTCAAAAGTGGGGAGGAGAGTGAAGTACGTGACTACGTGACGTGCCAAACAACGAACTGGCAATGACCCCAACGCGAAATTACAACATTACTATTTGTCGCAAATTATTCTATGGATCCAGATCCACCTTGCAATGTGAGTATGGAGTCTAAATGTTCACAATTTACATACTAAATTAATGTAATATATACGGTGCATATTGTTTACGGAGTACGAAGAGTACGGCTCTAGGCTCGGATCATAAACCTAGTCTACTTGTTGGTTTAATGAATATAGCCCGGAATACGTAACAGTAGGTCAAAGACGTTCGAGCTAATAGCTATAGGGTAAAAATAACCAAAAGTCCCTCTTGACAGCAATAAATGCGGTATTTATAGCAGTCGCTATGAGACATATTCCGGGTCGGCGGCATGCTGAGCACGTGGACACCATACACGGGTCCCGGCTGGGGAGCAGCACGTGACGATGTTTCTGAGCGCATTGTGTCATGCTAAGAGGCGCTCGATGGTCGGTCTGACCTAGACAAGTCGGTTCAGCCGAGGTCGCGAAACCATTCCTGAATCCATCCTCTGACGAAGCCCGGGGGCACTAGAGGTCGGGAAGGCATGCTAAAGAGGTCGGCGGTGATCGAATCGGGTTCGGCCCGTACTGGGGTCCGCGAGTCCGCGACCGACCACCGTATTGGCACGACGTTTGGGGAATTATCCCCATCATAAATGTTCACAATTTACCTTTTAAAAATTCACAATTTGTATACTACGAACACACAGTGTTAACATATATGTAATTGATTACCTTGTTTTGTATTCACAAGTTCCTTTCAAATACTGTAGTTATACAATATTAACATATTTTAAGATTTGATTACCATGTATTGTATTCACAAATTTCATATATTTTGACTTAAAAACTCAATTTATATGTCTAACGGATTTTAAACAGATTATCGTGTCTATCCTATCATGTAGACCCGAAACTTGTTAACTAAACATGTCTATCATGTTAACTTATTTAAAAATCGTGTTCGTGTTCGTACTTAAAATTCTAATCCGTTAACATTAAGATATCATGTTCATATCGTTATCATATATCAACTCATTAACGTATCCATTTACACGAATTGCAAGTCCAATCTTTGTTCTCTAACTCTATCTAGTTACTAACTTTTTTGTCCCATTTTAATGATATTGTATACTTTTAACTCATTGAAAAGTTTCACACATTTCTTTTCAAAAAAAAAAAGTTTCACACATTTATAATTTAAAATCATATTTTCAAGACTTCTAGTTCACTAGAGGTGATTCATATCTTCTCATTCATTCAATCCACACCCTATAAATGATTTGTTTTTTTGTTTTTTTTTTTCTTTTTTGTTTTTTTTTTTGTTT